ATTGTCTTTGTACAGGTGAAAGCTTTGACGCAATTGTAGTGACTAGGCTTATTTTATTCCTTAAGGTTAATTGAGCCGAAAAAAAGTTTTACAAAAACAATAAACATACCAAGTTAGATATACCAAAAACTACACTGTGAAGATATACCAAAAAACAATAATAAACATAAAGAGTAGTAGTTTATTCTTCAAACTTAAATTTGCAACACTGTGAATTTCGTGTTTGTCTTTGTTTTTTTGTTAAAGTAATGCAATTCATTTAAGTTTCAATTTGCAGAAGAAGAATAGTTTCTGAAACTTAAAATCGCAACACGAAAATGACTATCGTAACGCGAATTTGACTATCGCAACGCGAAACTAAAATCGCGTTACGATTTTCATTTCACGTTGCGATTCTTGGTTTCAAATAGTCATTGTCTAAAATTAAAACTTGAATGAATTGCATTACTTCAACCAAAAGACAAAACAAAGACAAATACTAACTTCACAGGGTTAAAGACTAAACATTTTAGCAGTATTGGCAGCAATCGAATGAATTTAATAAGCAATCTAAGTGAAATGGTTAATCTATTATTGAAATTACCAGTAAACTTATCATCAATTTCAATATGAAAAACCTAATAATAATGCAAAAATTTCAAAATAAAAATAATTAAAAAAACTAACCTTCGGTGGTTGATTTGGTTGATTTTCCTTTTCTGATCGTGAATGATTGTGAGGGTGGCTCTGAGAGATGGAGATAGACTGAATTTGTCAGAGATGGGGACAGATTTCACCGGAGATGGGGACGTATGTCGCCATAGAGAGTGAGAGATGGAGATGGGACTGAGTTGTGATTTAGGGTTTTAGGTTAAGAGTTGTGATTACGGGATATATTAATATTCGTGTTTGGAATTTGAAAATACAATATGCGTTGCGATACTAATGGCGCTTTGAAAATCGCATTGCGATAGTCAGAATCGCGTTGCGATTTAGATATTCGCATTGCGATTTACATATTCGCATTGCGATTTTCCAAATTCGCGTTGCGAATCTGGAAAATGATTTGCGATAATGGAGATCATGTTACGATTTAGAGATCGCATTGCAATTTCGTTGGTCATTTTGGCAAATCGAAAAAAAGTTGGACAAAATCGTATATTATAAGGAATTTTCGGTCACTGAGATTATTTTCTCTTAGAAATATAGTTTATCCTAAAATTTTAATTTTAATAAATTTAATATTTATTTTATAATCTTTTGAACCAATAACCTTATTTTGTCTCCATCAATCATATTTATTTTCACTCTTGTTTTTTACCTCACAATCCAAAAGCAACCCTCTTTTCATTTCCCATAAAAATCATGGGGTTTTTCCCAAAAAATCATCTTTTTAATTTAATATTTTTGATCAGGTATCGGTTAGATTATATTTTTCGATCTAACATCCTTTGCAGAAAGACGCACCTCCTATACCGCGCTATACGCTGAGTTTGCGTCACGTGGGGTAAGGCGCGCCTTATGCTGACATTGATACACGTGTGTATGGCACGGGGTAGGGGCCGCGCCTTACGCCACGTAAGATATAGCGCGGGGCAAGGGTCGCGCTATTCAATTATCTCAATTATCAAACATGTATCATGCAAGATGCTATGCAAGAATCACGCCTTGCATTATTTTCCCAAACTTCTCGCCTTTAAGGCATCCTCTCTCGGCTATAAATAGTCGTCTCCCGTAAACTCTCTCACCAACAATCCTTTGAATAAGTAAATAACATACGACAATCATCTTATATTTGATTTAGAAGTTTGCTCGATCTTTCGTTATAAGGTAATTTTGTTATAATATTTATTTTATAGTTATATATGATTATTTGAAAAAATATTATACTAATTGATTTCAATTAATTTATGTGTTTGTAGAATTAGAAAGTGGGAGCATACGTAGAAATATTTGATTCAGAAGTTTGCTCGATCTTTCGTTATAAGGTAATTTTGTTATAATATTTATTTTATAGTTATATATGATTATTTGAAAAAATATTATACTAATTGTTTTCAATTAATTTATGTGTTTGTAGAATTAGAAAGTGGGAGCATACGTCGAAATATTTTAGCGGTGCAGGTAATTATATAAAAATAGATTATTTAAATTATTTACGTTTATGTGTAAAAAAATTATTTTGTTATATTTTTGGTCATATATTATTTATTTAATCAAGTTTGTTTCAGTTGTTTTTTTTTTTTGCATATATAATATTGTTGCACTTTTAAACTCTAAGAATGACGAGACTTTCAGATATTGTTTATTATGATGGAGAAATTCGAGAAGATGAAACCGGTGTTGTATTCGTATCAAATGAGCGTGTTAAAATATCATTCAAGAGAAACATAACTCTTGAGGAGCTGATAACGAAGATTTCGAGGAAGGTTCATGTTGGAAGTAGTAGAAGAATCTCGTCGTTGCAGTACATATTTCCAACATCATTGTTGCAATTAATTTATACAGCGTTCGAACTATTGAACAATGATGATGTTGAAATTATGGTTGATTCTCAAAGTAATTATTTAGACGGCGATATTAAGATGTATGCAAAGTTTGTTCAAGTGCGTGTTGTTCGGGGTCAACTATTAAGCTCACACTATGGGCTGGCTGAACAAGTTGATCAAGTTGACAATCCGACTACAGTAATGTGTAATGATTTTAATGCCATAATGGGAAATCCACATCATGGTGCCGTCACATCAACTTCAATGGGGAGACATTCATTCGCAACTCCTTACGATATGTACCGAGATGGGTCCACGAATAATCTGTATGGCAACATCGCGTCCAGTTCGAGGGGAAGGCATTCATATGCAAATTTCTTTGACCTTAATATGGAGATGCAATCGACACAACAATCTGTGCAGTTTCCATTTGACACGATGGCTTCAAGATCAAGGGGGAGGCATTCGACTGCGAGCTTTTTCGATCTCAATCCAGATATGTCTTCTAGTTCAAGGGGAAGGCGTACCAGTAGTAGGTTCTTCGACCTAAATGTGGAGAGCATGGAGGAACCATCATCTCCACCAGAAGAACCGCTTCGTTAGCCTGGTGCGGATGGTGCTGAGACTGGACTATTCATTCACCTAGAATCACCACAATTCAACTCCGATTGTGATGATGATGTAGATGAAGTTCCAGAAAATGTGGCACAAACTGACCCTCCACCACACATGTATGAAGCTGATTATGATGCAATGTACGGGCCAGAATTTGCGGATACATCTCGGTGAGTATGGATATTACTCATCAATAAATAATGGTGAGTTATCTTTAGGCATGGAGTTTTCAAGCAAGGAAGAAGCGATGATGGCTATCAAAAATTACAATATCCGTAATTATGTTCAGTCCAGAGTCGATCGCTCCACGACCGAAAAATATGTATGCTACTGTGCCCGACGCGAAAACGGAAGCAGTTGGATGGTTCGTGTATCGAAGAGGAAGAGGAAAAACAACAGATTGGAACTAACAGTATACAACGGTCCTCACACATATTGTGCTAGAGGGGTCAACCGAGATCATATCAACTTGGACGCCTGTAGTCAATGACTCGACACATCTCCCTGTACAGGCAAGCCAAAACTACCGAGCCCCAACTGAGTGATCTGGCCAGATGAAAGTCGCTAAGATGTTGCAACCACATACAGTGAACTTGGTTACGCGATTTATCCGGCATCAGCAACCCTCCTATCAGCTGCAGTATGCATGCTCGTGCATACTGTTTAACTTCCTCGTCAGATGCGTCATCGCTCAACTCTCGAAAATTGGCATCTAACCAATTTAACGGTATCCGTCCACCGTTAAAATTTTCCGGGACTCGTCCTAGACTAACCCGACACAAAGTAGTCCAAGAACCGGAAACTATCTCTAATATCACACCTCCATCCACCAGAAGCTCCAGGTGCATAGAAATATCCTCAAGCGTGATCGTGCACTCTCCGCACGGAAGATGGAATGTGTGGGTCTCCGGCCTCCACCGCTCTACTAAGGCAGAAATAATGTATGGTTCTATCTTACAGTGACTCTTATATCTACCTAGGTGATTAAATCCAGCCTCTACTAAATACGACATTACACGAGTAGGTATAACTAACTTAAGGTTCCTAATAAAAGGATCTAATATACGGTTTCTCTCCTAAAAAATAAATAATTACACAAATTAATTTTTAAACTAATAATCATGCATTAAATAAATAAATAAATTAAATTAAAACGTTAAAATGTTACTATATCAGCAAAGTGTCGAGATATATGATTTACATTCAACCAAAGTAAATCTCTTTTCATTTTATGTCTGCAAAAAAATTAATTAAATAAAATATTTAACAATTAAAATAATTAAATAAATTACTAAAAAAATTAAATATAATAAAATATACCTTAATAATAGAATATAAGAGAAGTTGAGAGGATTTGGTGTAATAAAAGTGATTGAGAATTGGTGTATTTATAGGGAGAGATGGGTGTGAACGGGCATGCATAATTTGGTAATTAAAGGTATAGCGCGGGGCAAGGTCCGCACCTTTCTGAAGCGTGTCATAATTATAGGTAAGACGTGGCCCCTGCGCCGCGCCATACCCTTAATTATCAACTTACCCTTGCCCGTTCACACGTGTATCCATGTCAGCATAAGACGCGTTTCAGGAGATGCACCCTACCCTACGTGGCGTCAATTCAGCGTATAACGCGGTGCAGGAGGCGCGTCTTATTGTAAAAGGTGTTAGATCGAGAAATATAATATAACCGGTGTCTAATCAAAAATATTAAATTAAAAAGATGATTTTTTTTTTTTGGAAAAACGCGGAAAACCCTAGAAAATGTTTTTTCCCCCTCAACTTTTACCCCATTAACCGTTGCCTGTCTCACTCAGTGTTCATTAAACATCTTTGCAGTGAAACTCAGAGTTTCACTGAGAGTTTTAAATTAATTTATTCATTTTCTTTTTTCAGAAATTAATTTTGAAAAATAGGATACCACATTAAGGCATGATCATATGAAGTTTTCTAGGATTGATCATACAAAAAGATTGAAAGAAACCTCAAAGAAAACAAAGGGTTTCTTACTAGACCTTAGCTAGTTTATATGTAAGTTTTGCCTTCGAATCTGTCATCTTCTTCAATCTTTTGCTCCCATGGCGACCTTTTTTGAGTAGTCCTAGGTTAAAGAAGACACCCGCCTGTTCTTTTTCTTACAAATCATGGTGTTTTTCATACTACTTTGAGTCAGATCAACAAACTACTGTTCATCTTCTCCCTTTTGTTTCCCTTTTTTTTGGAGTTTTGGATATGGATTCTCTTCAAGGTTTCGAAACCCTGAATTCTAACCCTTCTTTCACTGCTTTAACCCCGAATTTTCCCGGGAGCCTGTCGATGACCACCGTTACCACCACCGGAAAAGGAAACGGGAACCCTTTGTCGGTGACGGCTTCATCTTCCTCGTCCACTTCTCCGACTACTCTCAGCCGCTACGAGAACCAAAAGCGTCGTGACTGGAACACTTTCGGCCAATACCTCTGCAACCACCGCCCGCCTCTCTCGCTCTCCCGCTGCAGCGGCGCGCACGTCCTGGAATTTCTCCGGTACCTCGACCAGTTCGGAAAAACCAAAGTCCACACCACACTTTGCCCTTTCTTTGGCCACCCTAATCCGCCGGCTCCATGCCCCTGCCCTCTCCGTCAAGCTTGGGGAAGCCTAGATGCTCTCATCGGCCGCCTTCGTGCCGCCTTCGAGGAGCACGGAGGCAAGCCCGAAGCAAACCCGTTCGGTGCTAGAGCTGTTAGGCTTTACCTACGTGAGATTCGTGATTCACAGGCCAAGGCCCGAGGCATAAGCTACGAGAAGAAGAAAAGGAAACGACCACCGCAAGCTCCTCCATCTCCTCCGCCATTAAATCAAAGGCAGTAAGCAAAAAACAAAGAAAAAAAATCTTAAAGTATCCACAGCTTCATGAAAAAAAATGGTTATGGTGCCTTAATTATTACATAAAGCAATGCTTCTACTATTTGTAGTAACCTAAGATCTATGTGATTTTCAACATCCAATTTGTCTTTAGATTTGTACTTTCGATAATCTATTTATGACAAGTTTAGATTTGCAGATCAAGTCGTGTGTCTGTTCTTCAATGGTTATTTCCTGTTTTAGTGACCTCTGATGTTCATCGTTTTCTTCTCTTAGTTTCATGTTTTTAAAGATAATCAGTCACAGATTATGATAAGTGGTGTAATAAAAATGGGGATTTGGGTCTTTTGTCTTGGTCTAGACAGATATTGGGACAAATCCATCTCCCATTTCTTAATTTCTGTCATGCCTGTTCTCACAATGGGGAGATACATATTTTTATTATTATTGTTCACTTTTAGGGATCTTCACATGAACCCTAATATATACAAAATATGCAGCTACCACAACTTGGATTAGGTTAAATATATATACATAATATATGTATGCACGTAGTTTGATATATGATTTTACATGGTGTAACTATTGGGTATTGGCTGATAAAACATTTACTAAATTTTCTCTTTGGTGTTTGGTTTCCATGATTGATTCATACAGAGTTACAGCCATTATCTGAAAGAGAAATTCATGTTTGAAACATGTTTTTCTTTGGGTTTTATTCATGCAGCATAATCATGTATGCTATATGTTGTCTAGAATGAATCCCTCCTAGTTTTTTCTAAATATAGCTAGGGTTTTTAGATACATTGAAATATATATATATATATATATATATATATATATATAATGCCGTGGAACAGCTCTCTTCAGTTGCTTAACTAAATATATCAAAAAATATATATTAAGTTGAACCTTTATTATTACAAGGGACTATTAATTTGACTAAAGCTGCCCATCATTACATGATATGTTTTAAGATTCTGCTGGGACCAAAGTTGATACTAATGACCTTACTTTTTATATTTTCTTGGTATAGTTAATAATATTCCGTGAATAATATATTTAATTAACTCTATTTATAATATCATAATTTAAATTCTAATATTATTTAAAAAATTAACATCTTATTCTTCTAATAGTTGGTAGCTATTAAGAAATACAATTAGCAATCTTAATTAAATAAGAGAGAGATTGCCTCATCGAAAGTTTGATTCAATTTTTGTTTGTGGAAGTATTAATGTTGTGTTGTTCTTTAATTGTTTATTTGAGGAACATGAGATTTAAATCAAAATAAAATTTGAATTTAATTATTTATTCATCTCAAAGTAAAAATTAACTTTAAAGAGACTTATGTATGTTGAGCCAAGTTTAATTATATAATAACGCTAAATTTAAATTAAGCTTTAAATTAAACATTAAAAATGGTTTAGGTTTAAGTTTATGTAATCATCCTTAAAAAATTAGGGTAAAGAATACAAATTGTCATTTTGACTATAGAGTGTTATTTTGTTTGGTCATCTAACTATTACAAGTTACAAAATGATTTTTTTCATTATAGAACGTTATTTTGTTAAATCCCCTGACTATTAAAAGTTGTAAAATAGTCATTCAACTATTCATATGTTTCAAACTCGTCATTTTCCGTTAAAAAATTAACGATCGTTTGATCTGGACGTTAACATGTTGAATGAGATATGATAAAATTATATTTTAATGATATTTACTGAAACCTTTGTTGCTTTCAAGCATTGACTTGATGACATAATATTTTAATCATTGACTCAATGACATAATATAAATGGATAATCGATCGACAAAACATAACACAAATGTTATGGGATCAAATTTTATCATATCTTAGTTAATACGTTAATGTCCATCTTAGACGGACGCTAATTTTTATCAGACAATGAAGAGTTTGGAACATATAAATAGTCAATTGACAATTTTGTAACTTTTAACAGTAAGGAGACTCCAAAAAGCGGTACCCTATAGTTAGAACATCATTTTGTAACTTTTAATAGTTAAAGGACTTAACAAAATAATATCATATGAGGATCATTTGTATATTTTACCCTAAAAATAACACGTAATTAATTTAAAATTATTATTTTAATATCTAAAAAAATCTCCAAAAGATATCAAATATTCAAATCTGATTATATATATATGATACCCCTTTTATCTAAACGTGTGTTTGTCCATCCATGTTTAATGCTCATTGAAACATTGTTGCACCAACTTTCTCTATCATGTTTTTCGATTTTTTTGCTTAATTAATACATATTTGACCTAGAAAAATGGACTTATTTTGGGGGGGAAATGTTTATTAAGGACGTATTTGCAATCTTTATGTTTACGTGTATTTCATTTTCACCCACCAAACTCTCGTTATCGTAACTCTGCATCATGAGCCATGCCGACTATACCTCTGCATCATGAGCCATGCCGACTATCACTTTCATGAATTTTCAAACACACCAAAAATAATTCATTATTTTATGTTACGTAACTATTTAACCAAAGTTGGAGAATATCACTATATGATTATGATAATTAATCGCGATTAAAGTTAAAAAATTATGGTTCGAAATTGGATTACAATTTTTTTTGGGGAGTCAAAACATAATTTTACTATTGAATTAACTTATAAATTTATGCCTTTTTATGAGGATCGAATCACAATTTCATCATTTTAGAAGATAAAATATAATTTTATCTTGTAACTTATAGTTTTACAATTTTCAGAATGATTCATGCACAATTTTTTTCAGGGACGAAAGTGTAGAAAAAAGTTGAGAAAGGATTTGTTTGAGGCCTGCACTACACATTATTCTTAAGGATACTTCGTAGTAAAATCATTTACCCTAATTAAAAAGAAAAAACCAAAATGAAAAGGTTGGGAGAATGGGTAAAATCTGTTCAAGAGTTCCAGTTGACAAACAGATCTCAGTGTAAAAAATTGTACCCTACCGGTTACTGATGCTTCACTTTGATGCATGCTGAAAGCTGACAGAACCTGAACCAGTGGATGCTCCTTTTCTCTCTTGTCATTCATGTCGGTCTCCCACATCCATCCCTCTAAGATCTTGCCACGTGGATAAACTTTTACCCGTTGATGGATTGTACATTTGACCCCACTCCTTGATGATGTGGGACATCACTGGTATGAGTAAGGTGAAGAAGAAAAGCTTTGTCATTTGTCAAAGTTGTCGTGTCTATAACTTTATGATGCTTTACTACCGGTGGTGCTACTCCTTTCAAACAGTTTTTTCTGGTTTATGTCTGTAATAAGAAGCTACCGACAGTAATGGATTATTATATCAACTTAATTAAATTCATTATTGTAATCGAGGGTTTTATTGACGAATTAGAACGTAAATAATCCACGATATAACAAAAACATGCCACATTCTTACCTTTTCCTTGTTTTGTTTTCTGTACATCCGTTTCTGGTTTGCCCGCGGGCACTTCTTGCAGGTCTCCTTGCCGACGGGTTTTATTTGGAGTGTTGGATCCATACCCCTGTTAGTCTCACTAGCTCAGAGTTGTGATTATGCAACCATTGTTGGCAGCTACTAAGTAAGGATTAAATATTAGCGGAGTCAAAATATTGAATTTTTTTTAAAGAAAAATATAATAATTTATTAAGAATTTAAATTTAAAATCCAGAAGACAATGCATATTTATTTAATATTTAAATTTATAATGATCTAAATTATTATTAAACTAAAAAATTTAAGAATATGAGATTATCCATCTTTAGTTCTATTCTCTGTTTAATTAAATATTTAATAAATTCTTTTATTTTTTAAATTAAATATTTTTTTACACGAACCAAAATAATAATACACAAAAATTTATTAAATATATAAATTTTTACATGGGCTGGAACCCCTTTGGGCCATAAGGGAACTCCTTTCCTGATTGTTGGTTGCCCAGCACCATCTCCACCACAGTTTTGGGATATCATCGCGCCGGCTAGTTTGATCCAACAAGACGTGGTTTATAGAATTATTTCGAATTAATATTAAATTGATAGAGTGTGTAAGTTTTTAGGGTCTAAAATTGATATTAACCATGCACATTATATTTTTTTAAGTTAATTGTCAAATCTAATGCCAGAGAACTAAAATAGGAAAAAAAAAATGACATTGGGTATGATTTAAAAAAAAATGATTGAGTGACCAAAATAGAAATACATAAATAAACTCATAGCCAAATAGATAGTTTACCCTATTGAATAGGGATGGATATGATCGGGTTAGGTCAGATTTTCGATTAACTCGATCCAACCCGATAAAAATATATCCTTCACTTGAAACTTGACCGACTCGAGTTTAAAGTGATCTCACTCGACCCAAAATTCGACTTGTCTCTTGAGATAAAACCTGATCCGACCCGACTCGATATGTCACAACATATATATATATATATTTCTTAATTTTATTCGGTAAAACATATATCTAACTGAAAAATAATATAGAGAGATATATTATTACAATTGTCTTAAATATACAAAGTATAATTATATTATTTTTTGAGTCGAGTTAAATATTTTTTACCTTAAACTCTAAATCCAAACTCAACCCAAACTCGAAATTTTAGAAAATATCTACCTAATAAAATCAAATCGAATTAAAATCTGTCGGGTCCATCCGTGCCCATCCCTATTATGGAAGATGAAGGCTATCAAAACCGAAAATTTCATTAGAAAGTTTAGGGTTAGAAGTGCATAAAGGTAAAGCAAAACCAAGGCCCTATTCATTTTACCAAGGCCTATGAATATTTCAAAATAAACGATATTATGCCTTGATGTAATCCATCACCAGCTGTTTCCCTTGAGTTGCTACCCTGGTTTTGTCAATCCAAAGGAAATTGGAAACACTGATTTTCTTCTTTGAGTGGGACACAATTTTACAACTTTGAGAGAGGACGGGAGGAAGTTTGAGTAGGGATGGCAACGGGCCGGGTTCGGGCCGGGTATTGGTCCCCCGTCTCCGTCCCCGTTTAAAAAATCG